GTGTTTAAAATAAAAAATATTTTTAAAACATCCTTCTTTTTTAGTCCACCTCAAAACTTGTAATTGAATACATGTATACATAATAATAATAATAAACTGATGATTTGAAACTGTTAGCCTCCAACAAATTACAATTGACAAAGTTACTAAAGGTGACGGCAAACTTTAGTAATTCTATCAAAATGGAATTTGGTGTAGACAAGTGTGCAGTCATGTATGTAAAGAAGGGTGTGATAGTTGAATCTGAAGGAATAGAGCTTTCAGATTCAACAAAACTCAGATCTCTGTCTGCCACTGAAACTTACAAGTATCTGGGTATATCACAGTCGTTGGGAATACCAGAATCTAACATGAAACAAACATTGCAGGAACGCTTTTTTGGCCGCTTGAAAAAAGTACTTAAACGTCTTTTATCAGGGGGCAACAAGGTGCGAGCCTGCAATGGTTGAGTCATGCCGGTTCTGATGTATTCCTTTGGTATACTTAGATGGATTCAGACCGAATTAGATGTCCTTGACAGGAAAGTCCGTACACTGCTGACTGCATCCCGAATGCACCACCCACGTTCATCAGTTATGAGATTGTATATCCCGCGAAAGCTTGGGGGTCGCGGACTATTAAATATCTAGACCCTACATAATCGCGAGAAATGCAATCTCAGAGAATATTTTCTACATACCGACGTGGGAGTGCATCGCAATGTAGTTGCAGTGGATACCGCCTTAACCCCGCTCGCTCTGGCTAAAGAGAATTGGCGCAGACCTGTAGTACTTAGTGTTAATGATCGCAGGGAAGTATGGAAGGGCAAAGAGCTCCATGGTCGGTTTAATCGGGCCCTAAACGGGTCCGATATAGATTTAAAAGCATCTACGACTTGGCTACGGTATGGTGATCTCTTCGGAGAAACTGAAGGTTTTGTTTGTGCGATTATGGACGAAGTTATCATGACAAATAACTATCGGAAATATATCCTGAAAGATGGTACGGTTGACATCTGTCGGGCCTGCCACCGTCCTGGCGAATCAATCAGGCATATTATTTCTGGTTGTTCTCGTCTTGCTAACAGAGAATATTTGCACAGGCACAACCAAGTACCTGACCTACCTGACTTGAGACCTGTCTTTATAGAGGTTACTATGAAATCGTTATAATCGGCTCAATATTTTCGTAATAAACATCACATTCGTAATCATTATCCGGCAATTTTCAATTTCAACTTTTGATTAATAGCGTGGTGGAATAACCAATTCGAATATTTTAATATTCTCAATAATGAGAATTATGTAGGTATATTCATGATGTTATTTTAGTAACACATCAAATTAAACATAATTTATATCAAATTCTTTAGGCCTTATGATTTTCTAATTGTTGTGTCTGTCTTTAATGAACATAATAATATATAACGTGCAACACGCATCCAAGCAGGATCAGCTGTTACTATTGGTAATGACAATAATGACGTCTGAGCTATGCTTTGTATGTAGCTTCTGTTACGTGCTGTTGTTCTTGTTGTTGTGTAAAAAAGCATATAACATTTCTGTGTAGCGCGGGAAAATACGGTGTTTGCACCTCGATCACGCTGGAACCCGCTTTGGAAATTTGTTTTTTTCTTTACCTACAAACTTTGCTCATTAGCTCTTTGCTCAGTTGTATACTTTATTTTCTTGTAGTATCTTGCAGTATTCAGTAGAAAAAACTATGAATTAGGCACAAAGCACTAAGTAAATATAAAAAAGAAAAAAAAATTGAAATAAGCGCTAAATTGTTTAGGATTTAATGTAGTTACAAAAAAAAAAAGAATTGTGCGACTGCATTTCAGAAATCTGACTTAAACTTGAATAATGTAATTTTGAAAAAACAAGACACTGACCCGGGAGCTAAAAACGATGTATAGGTTTGTAGCTTATTGTTCTTTACTTAAAATTGTTTGTAGTTGACATACACTCGGACAGAGCCGGCTAGCTACTAAATTTTAACGAGCTGCCCTCCTTCTTTGGCCATTCATAATTGTTCTGAACTTCCATAACCTTAATCTTTTTTCTAGATTGCATCACCGTATCTTTAAAATCTTGGAAATCGTATATAATTATTTGTTTTTCTCATTTTTAGTTCAATGTTAGAGTGTACTGTGTCCGCAGACATATGAGTGTGTTCCTTCGTTAGATAGCTGATGGTTATCGTCTATATAACATTTGTTAGGTTATTTACTGTCTTAGTCAAGGTTGTATAAATCGTCCAATTCTTATTTCAGGCGCATCGCGTCACATTTCTAAAACTTTGTAAGCCTCATTTAAAATAACTAAACCTAGTATAGTGTCAAGATATCTAAGTTATTAAAGCAGGTGGTATGGAAGTTTGATTTTGGGCAGCCGATATGGGCCCGATTTGACCGGAGTGACACCACGGTCTCACAAAAAACCGGTATTAAGCAATTGCTTTTCACCGAGTCCCTGTGGTTACAGGCGAACCATAATGTGAACCATAATGTGAAAAATTATGCTTAAAAAAGTCAAACCTCTTTTGTTTATTGATCGAAGTTTACATAGGTAAAAATCAAAATCATAAGGTGACTACGTAGAATTAGGAAATGTACAAATTAGATGTCGTAGACAATCCTTCAGTACTTACATAGATCGGCAGAATACGCATTTTGTCTACAAGTTATATTTTAATTTTTTCCAACATGATGCACCCATCATAAGACTAAAAAATAATAATATACCTAACACCAAAAAAATTCAAGCAATTAACGAAACTGTAACACTGTAAACGGTGAATATTTTAGAGTTGGTTACTAATATATTTGTTCATTATATTCACGATGGTTGGTCGTATTGGTTTACCAGTAGTTAATTACACTTTCAAAATGAAGGAAACAATAAATGTGTAAATATGTACATATCATATGGGACTCTCCTTTATACGGAGGTGAATTCCTATTCACGTACTAAAATAAATATACAGATATTTAGTTTGTTAATTATTTTTCTTTTATACTAACACTAGTTTAAGACACTCTGTTACTAACACAATATGGATGAACTTGTCCGAAACAAATAATTTGAATTTGTATATTATATTTTGCTCTAAAAGGTTTCAGCAAATTCTAAGTTTGTTATAATTAATTTAAAAAACAAACAAGGTTTTAAAAATTAATATTCTCAATTACTTTTTTAATAATTAAATAAAAATTATAATTTTGAATAAACAAAATAACATGTAAGTTCATTAAAAAAGTTTAGAAGGCCATAATAGCGTGATTTATATCTTATTCATAGCTCTTAGTAATAAGGCCGTCCTGCAAATTACATTTCTGACATTTATATATAGGTGTATATACTTTGTAAAACGATGTACAAATAAAGAATTTTCTATTTATCTATTTTAAGATATCCTGTCGTTATCATATTAGTTTTATCATATTAGTTTCACGTTTAGTTTTATACACATAAACTATGAGTTTTTATTTATGCTTACAACGCGTACTCAGCACACTCATATGAAGAAGGTCAAAACATTAAATTTATGTCTTTAAACCTACCTTAAAATCCGCCTGACCTTAATATACACCACGACCAAATCCTAAAACACCTAAAAGAACTTCTGATAAGATAATATATGAGGTAAAGTTAAAAACTGTTGGTTTGCCGTGTCGTAAACGGTTAAATCAAACTACCAAACAATGTAATCATAAGTGTGACAAACTATTTTGCATTATTATGTTGTGTTGTAGTTAAATTAACTTTAATTCAAAAGTGTGTAAATTACTGTTTTAATTTAGCGTCTTTTGTTGACAAAGTAATGAACTTTTGTCCAACTTAAAAAACACGGACATACTTAATGGAATCAAGCCTTAAAGATATATTATTCCATTGTCATACAAAAATGTAGGAATCTTCTTAGTTCTTAAGTAACTATAATTCTAAATGATTGTATTTAATTGTTTTGTTTTATTATAATTTTAATCGTGATAGACTCACTTCGGCAAGTGATTGAGGCTTACGAGACTTTTATAAATACATTTAAATATTGTAATGGGGACCTAATTGCTAAAATGTTTAAAAATCATCTAATCTTATCGTTCCGTCGGTCACAGCCAATTGTCTCCGAGTTTACTAGACCAATTCAGTTGAAATATATGTAGTAGGTAACCGTATGTGTAAATAACCGTATGAACATGAAAAACACCTATTATTTTGACATTACAAACAGACACTTTAATTTTATTTATTTGTATAGATAATGTGTAATGGATCCTATCTCATTCTCTCGCCGGCTTAATCCTATACATTTATATGTTTATTTCTTTATCGTGACGCATTTTCGTTGCATTGAGTTTCAAATCACAACGATCCTAAAGAAGTTTCACTTGAAAAAGTAAAGTTTTCAAACTATGGTACATGTCAAACGAAAGAGCTCAAGTTACAGCCTGAGCATAACAAGACGTAATGCTGTTGGGATGCATAGAAAAACATGCCTTTAGAATACAAAGCTAAATTTGTTAATAACACGGATAAAAAATTTGAAACACCCCCGACAGCAACATCAACCCATGTTTTTGCTGCAGCATCAGATCAAAGTTAGCATATCATTGAAAAAAAAACACTAAATTAACAGTATACCTTTCATATCAATCAAAGTTGTATAAGTTAGTGAGATCTCTTCATAAACTAAGAAATGAGCTGATGATCTGCACAAGTTGTATCCAAGAAACATCCTGCTTGCATCAGCTTTCAAATAAAAAAACCGCATCATAAACGGTCCATTCGTTTAGGAGCTATGATGCTACAGACAGACACGTCAAACTTATTATACAAAAATAATAATTAAATAAATATTAATCAAAAGAAATCATCTCTATGCGAATTCGACTCGTACATGGCACGTGTTTTACTGGTTACCTGCCGTTTCGACCGATTTTCCGAGCTTGGTTCACTCCCGTGAACACAATCACCACGGAATGGAAATCTACTATTTACCAAATAAGTTATACTTACTTGATTATTATTATAATCCAGTTTGAAGTATTTTTGTAAGTAAGGATCGATTTGCGGCACATCCAGGTCTGGAATGCCGTCGATCATGGCAGCAATTCCCTTTTGAACGGCATCCACCATGCAATCGTTAGCATCTAAAGCATTTCTGTTGCACACTTTCAAATACTTCTCTGAAATTTGAAGACATGTTTTTATCTCATGATTTGTATATCAATATCACAATAAAAAATGTAAAAGGGCTGAATTCATTTATAAATCTGTCAGTATACAGGTGAATGTAATTAGTTATAAAGATCAGTTAAGGCACATGAGAGACAATACAAAATTTTCTGTACTTGTGGTTACGTAACATACCTACTTACTTATTGTTACTAAATATCGATCGTAACACTTTGTTTGGTACTTTCCTCGGCCTCGTTCTTTGTCGCGTACATGGGCCCATGTTTATTATACCAGTACTAGTTATTGACTGTTATCATTTGTGCCAAGGTAGAAATATTAACTACTTTTGCCCGAGAACTAAGATGCATCATGGCGTCCATATACATTTTGTCAATCAATTCTGATATCATCAAGAAACAGTACTTCTTTTCGTGATGAAGTTACTCTATTATGATATGTATCCCCTATACCTTGGGAATACATTTAAAATAATAATTTATGTTTCGTTGCGAGTCAAAGTCATGAAAGATAGACATTAAATTTGGGCAACACAGAGCATTAAATCCGTGATTGACATTATTGTTTAATTTTGATTTCTTTTAATAAGACAACTCCCGCACTAGGAATATATCCTGTGTCGCGGGGGATTTTACAAACATACATGGAAACGGACACAAAGAACACCCAGACTCAGAACAACAATTTGTAGATCACACAAAGTGTTGTCCCGTATGGGGATCGGACCCACAACACTCAGCGCAGTAGGAAGCGGCGAGGTAACCGCTTAAACCACTACGCCATCCGTTCTGTCATATTTCTGTTCCTATTATATTTATCATGTTTATGTATAATATAGTCAGCCCTACGCAACTAACCAACATTACTTTTAAATTTCACCGTCTTACAGACTAAAATATTATTATCAATTTTTTGTTACAATTAATTCTGTGACATTAATAGGTAGGTACATAATATGTGTACGGCAGTGTACGAATGTATGTAAATCATGTATACTTACCTGGTGTAGTAGATATAATAGAGGTTAAAGTATCAAATTGCCGATGTATAGTAATAGATACTTTCATCACATCACAGCAAAAGGCTTTAATAGTCTACTGCTGGACATAGGCCTCTCTTTAGAAATGAGGTACTTTCAATTGACATAAAACCTGCATGGTGTGAGATTTTCGTGTGAAACTTTTTTACATGATATCTATCAGTTTCTTCTTTTAAAAAATGTGCAACATTCGATTTTCGACTTTCAGTTGTTTTTGTTATTCAGCTTAGACGTGAAAGATGGATACTTCGGCAATCCGAGTCATGTTTGAATACGAGTTCCGACGCGGAACCAACACGGCAGAAACGGCTCGCAATATCAACGCTGCGTTTGGAGAGGAGACTGCTAATGAACTGTGCGTTTTTTATTTAAACTTTGTAATGGAAACTGCGACTTGAAGAACGAACTACGTGGAAGACCCACACAGGTGAATAACGTTGAGTTGAAGGAGATGGTGGAAGCCGATCCGAGTCAAACTACCCAGGAATTAGCGGCATGGTTTAAGGTTACCCTACCTACAATATTGACTCATTTGCATCAAATCAATGAGACAATAAGAAAAGAAAAATGGGTGCCGCCCATGGACACCTGTGACTTTTGAGTTGTGGCGGCGGTAGTGTGCTACCATCAGGTGACCCGTCTGCTCGTTTGCCCCCTTATACCATAAAAATCATGAGGCACCCATTTTTCTTTTCTTGAAATGCGTGTTGCCTTGTTGAGTCGGTACAGAAATGAAGGAATATTGGATCGAATTGTGACATGTGACGAAAAGTGGATTGTTTACGATAACCGTAAGCGAAAAATTTTATGCCTGACCTTAGGTCAAACACAGTGCCCTAAAGCAAGGCTTACCAATAAAAAGGTAATGGTAACTGTTTGCTGGTCTCTTCAAAGTGTTATTCACTATAGTTTTCTCAGGTCTGGTCAGGCAATAACAGCAGATGCTTACTGAGCTGAACTTCGATAAATGAACTTCCGTTTAAATGACAGCAATATATAGCTAATGACGGTTAATATTTTGATTAAAAAAATATGTTACATCTTAGAAAAAAACAAGTTTAAATTTTTTGTACAAATCCTCAATTTTATACTTTACTACGTATTGTAGATGTATATGTGTGTATGTATGTTAGAAGCGCGTTCATGTTAACAGATATTAAATTTGCCTGTTCATTACAAATCATCAAGCATTTGCATAAGTCTTATCTGATGATAAAGCTGGCAGCAAAATCAATGAACTGAAATATAGGCAGAAATATACCACAAGGCGAAGTGTAGTTACTCTAAAACTTGCACGTAAAAGCAGTAGTTAAAATTGCAGCTGAATAAATTGTCATCTTATTCAGTCACTGCCGAAACTAGTTCTTTGTTGCAGCTGCCGCTATTAATAAGTAGGTAAATGCAACCATCTTAGATTAAAATATCATTATTTTTAAACCTATGTGATAATTTCCTCGAACTCAAATAGGTACTTTTTTATTAAGTAGGCCTTGTTTCAGTGTATTTCATACGTCAGTAGGAAGCAAAATAATAATCATAGATATTAAAATAAAACGAGACACTAAACGAACAGACATGAGATGTGACCCTGATGACCCAAGTGTGTTATAAAGTTAGAATTTTGAAAATTCTTATAATTGTGTTTCTTTTTAAATCGGTTAAGTTTTTTAGGACCTCCTTTCATAGGAGAGGCCTATGTCCAGCAGGGGACTATCATAGGCTGTTGATGATGTGAAGTTTTTTAGACGTGAAAGCGTAACATCAAACAAAACAACAGATTTTCAAAAATCAGAATCACAAATTACAAAAAGTCGCAAGCTAACATTATTGAGCGGGCTCGACCATTACTTATTTTGAAGGATGATTTCCTTCAAAATAAATAAAAGTCGAGCAAGCATGCAAAAATATAATCTGCCGATTTCCATAGGCCGAAGTAGCAAAAAGTTTTTGCTAAAACGATTTTTGATAGGTCTTTACAATTTACAATCTTTTCAACAGGAGATCAATTTGTAAGAGTGTAGCATGATTTTAGAAAGATTTCACCAAACAAAATTTGATAAAATCTATATTGAAATTTAGCAGTTTAAAGAAGAAAGTAATGAAAATTGGCATTGCAGCAGGATTTATTCTGTCGGTAATTGACCTTTTTCGCTAATAAATAATATATATCTTAAAAAAATAGAGATGAGGATAAAAAATACATTTTCAATGGTCAAATTTAATTGTCTTTTTTTCTGAATAATGTATTTATCTGAAACATTTAATTTTCACGTCTTTAAATGTCTTCATAATTTTTCATCTTATTTGTTACATTATGTGATTAATAATAATAAAAACAAAAAATTAAATAACCCGCAAAACAATCGTTAGGTTTTTGGCTAGCATGACTTTGACATCAAGCTGAACCGTCTGTACAAAAATCTGACCCTCTCAAGTATTAGCGTTTTTTTTTGCATTTTCGAAAATTCACTTCGAGCTTGTGCCATTTTTAAATCGTCAAACCTTTGAATGTCCTCCATCGTACAAGCTGGCAGATTAGCACACATTTGTAATTAGAGGCAATTGGAGTTCCTAATCAACAATGACTGACATTCTTCAGGTATTTCTATGTAGCTATTTTTTACCCATAGACCCACTGATTGAGAAAATTATATAAACCTTTCATTCATTCTGACATCTAAACTTTTAAACGCAATAGGTCCCCAAGACGCTCGAGTTAATCCCCATTTAGTATCATGTACTATTACTACTATTAAGTATACAGTATTCTCTACCGCATTGAAATTGTTTTGTCCACTAACCGTAAAACAGGAAATACTAGCCTTGTGACGTCACGTTCGAAGTATATAATTTTGAACACGTATGTAACCTACTAAATAGTTCCCGCGGTTTCATCCGCATTTGATTTTACGATATCGTTTTGCGTACTTGCCAGCAAATTACAAGAATTGTAATTTGTTAGCAAGTACTTACAGATTTTTGCTTTATCGGCCAACTGATTCGGTTCCTGACCAAGAGGTTTTTTTTTAAAGAACTAAGAAATATAATTCAAATTATGACAATAGAATTTCATACTGTATAAACTAGGAATCCATACTAACATTATAAATGCGAAAGTATGTCTGTAACTCTGTATGTCTGTCTATCTCTCTGTCCGTCTGTCTGTTACCTCTTCACGCTTAAATCCCCGAACCGATTTAGATTAAATTTGGTATGGATGATTCTTGACAAAAGACATAGGCTACTTTTAAAAGCTTAGAAAAGCTAGTAAACTATAAATATTTTTTGTGATCAATTATAAGATTAGTAGATACATTTGTGCCGAAGTATAGCCTGCATAGCTCTCCCACGTACAACATTGCCTAACACGTGTGCCTTTCAACATTATATCTATCTATCACCACATTTCTACACCACCCAAAGGTTGGCTGGTGGAGAATGCCCTGGGCATTAAGTCCGACCTACATGGTACAAGTGCATAAAGTTGTAAATAAATAAAACATCTTCATAACTGTATAATATACTTTGTATGGATTTTTCGTGCAGTACCTTATAGTCAGAAATCAGAGGGAAAGAAGAGAGTGGAAGAATAGTTTCACTCACATCACATCATCATCATCATCACATCTATAGCCTTTAATATTTCACTGCTGGACATAAGCCTTGGCCTACTTCATGCTCATAATTTTAAAATTCAGAAGCGGCGAACCACTCTGCCCTCTCACCGTTTCACCTAATCGCTTAGAGAAAGAGTGTCTCGTAATCTACCCATTCACGCATAGACAAAAAGTTGCCTAATGCCAAGTACCCCAAAAAATGTTTTTTTTCATAGGTTATAGCTTAGGTCATATTGAAAGTTTCTGGATTCTTCCTTAGGGACCTCTTCAATGGCTTCATGGAACGCATTCACCGCCAATTCAGGGCTCATAAAACGTGTGCCTCTAAGTTTGT